ATTTACATTAGACCCATTAAAACTAAACAAATTGAATTATTTTTATTTTAAGTTGTCAAAACTTTATAAAATGTCAAATAAGGTTACCTAACATTTCTTAACTCGCCTATTGTATTTGTAAAACTTTTATTACCTTATTTAAAAAAATTATTTGGTCAGCTTTCAGTTATGCCTGTTAAATATTTAATAATCAAAATACGGATAGTTATTCCCAATGTGGATTTGATAGGGGGGGCCTGATTTAAAGTATATGAAAAAAAAACACAAATTACCTTCTTTCATAGAATTTACCAATTCCAATAATATTGAGACACAATTAAATTTTACTTTCCTAATGTAATTTTTACTCCTTGGTTCTTTTTAATAGTTTCCTACTTTATTTGACATTTATTAGACCTGACGTTTTATTCTCATTTTCCAATTTACTATTTAACTTTCTCATCAAAATAGTTATTTTTTTTTTATGTTTGTATAAATTGAAAATAGTTATAGTTTTTTGATAACATTTTGAAATTTACATCATCATTCACAAAAATTTGTAAATGAAAAAATTACTTTCTAAGTTTCTGCCTTAGTTTTTCATTTATAACATTTTCCTTTATTTACAGTTACAGAAAGCCGTAAAATTTTGAGCAAATCATAAAATTTGAAACAAAAACAAAAAATTATTTTTATTTTGTTTTTCTAAACCGGTGAAAAATAGTTATACTCTTCTTATAGTTCAATTTATTTTAGTGAACACTTAACACTTTTCGTTTATTGTTGAAGGGCATTGTGAAAAACTAATTTAATGAAAATAGTTTTAGTACCCATTACTCAATTTTTCTTACTTTATTGAAATTTTATAGTTAAGATGGTGATCAGGCCAAGAATATTTTCAATGTGTTTGCAAACCTTATTGATTCCGGTTCAGTGATTCCCAAAGTGGTATATGTAGACCAACTGGGGTTAATGAATAACTATGAGGGGTCCACTATGTGTTAGCAAACCATATTGATTCCGGTCCAGTGATTCTCAAAGTTGTATATGTAGACCAACCGGGGTTCATGAATACCCGCGAGGTGTCCACGATGTGTTAGCAAACCTTATTGAATCCGGTCCAGTGATTCCAAAAGTTGTATATGTAGACCACCTGGGGTTCATGAATACCTGCGAGAGGTTCACGAAAAAATATGAATTCAATTAAATATTTTTTTTTAACCTTCTCACTTCATAGGTGTTCCTTGCTACTGTTAGAAATCTTTCAGAGAAAGTAGCAGGCCGGGTTCTATCGAAAATTGAAAAACATGACAAGGGGTCTACGAGAGAAAAAAGTTTGGGAACCTCTGTTCTAGTCAAACTAAAGTGTATTATAAAGAGCTATATAATCGAAAACTAGTAACTTATTTTAGGACTTCAAATTTTACAAGTGAAGAAATTAAGTTCTAATTTTGGATTTAAAAGCTGGATTCATATACTACGTACAGGTCTTATAGAAATATTTCGTACCCAATTACAGAATCCCGACCAAAGAATTGAAGCGGTAAATGAACTGTGTAAGTGGAGATGTGCACTGTCAATCTCGTCTTCTATTAAGTTTCTAGCTATAAAAGTAATCATCAGTTGAAAATATATGAAATTTAATGAAAGTTCTATTCGAGCAGCTCGATTTTCATCAAAGTGTTAATTAACCCCTTTGTCCACTTAACTCTTCAATTTATAAAGATATAAGAATATTATTCAGAAATTTAGAATTAAATCATTTAATTATTATATTGGGCTTATGTTAGGTTCACTACCTATCTATTCCCAAAATTTCAACTAAATATAGAAATTTTTCTATTTTTTGTCAAAAGAGATCAATTCTAAGACAAAGTGGAGAAAATTTTAAATTTAATAAAAAAAAAATTCTTTTTATATAACAGAAACAACTCAACTACTATCAGCTATTATCGGCTATCGGCAACCCTTGCCCCACACATACTTTTTTTCTACACACATATTTTTTTTATTGTATTAATTTAATTTACCTGTGTAAGTTACTGAACATGTACTATGCTTAAGAACATAAAACAAATATTTTTTTTTCCCACTTAAAGTTTTCAATAGTTTTTCACCTTTATTTTATAAGATTAAGCAAAAATCAAGAGTAAAAAAGGAAAACAAAAATAATAATTTTTTTTTTTTTATTTTACAATTTTACAACTTTATTTGATGAAATGATCATCAATACTCAGCTCTATATGGTAGCTATGTTCGTAGTTTATTTTCTTTTTAAACAAAAACGAAAATAAATTACGTACTTTTACCCTCTTTTACCATCAAACCCTAAAACCTCTTCATATATTACCCCTTTAATTTCCCTAAACTATCCATTCTTCTTTTCAACAAATTTAATACTTTTAAAAATATCGGTAACAATCATTCAGAATGAAAAAAATAACAATAACAAAAATACTGCTATAAAAACTCTCAACTCACCTGTATTTTAGAAAAATAGCAATAATAGAAAAAGCAAAAAAAAATCCATATAAATTTTAGGTGACAACACTAGCATCTCTCGGAATACGGAAAACATAAAAACAAAAATTTCTAAAAAAAAAATTTCTAAATTATAACAATAACAGAAAATAATAACAACAACAATAACAGAAAAAAAAAAATATAGAAAATTTAAAAGAATCCATTTGGACATTCTTATATGCGGTCATTCATTTTCATCTAGTATGATTTTGACAAACACACGCATACACAGAGAAAATGAAAGAAACCCAAAAGATAATAAAAATGGCGAAAAAAAAAAGAAACATTTTCATTTTTGTTACTTTTATTGTCAGCCATAAGGGTGAAAGGGTTGCGCAAATCGACATATCTCTAAAGTATTTGTACCACCGGCAATATGAAAAATAAAAAAATAAAAAAAATTTTTTTTTTCCATCTTTTACGTTTATTATATCGCCTTACGTCACATTCATCCTGACATACAAACAAACACAAATATAAGGTATAGATTTTCATATATCCCGGGTAACAAAAATTTATAGATATAATTTTGTAAAAAAAAAAAAAACAAAAAAAAAAATTTTTTTTTTTGCTCCTTTCGGACCAATAATAATGTCGAGAGTTCTATTTCTTTTCTACATTAAAATTTTCATTATCCTTTTTTCGTTGTTCTCCACATAAAATGTTCTCGTTTTTTTGTATACCCTTATATGTCGTACCTTTGGTACATTTTTACCAAAGAGATGATATAACATTAAAAAATAAACATAATAATATTATATGAAACCCTATACATGACTACATACATACATACATACATACCGAAACATAATAAACGGAGTCGGACGTACAAAATATTATTTATATAAAATTATAAATCTATAAATATGTATACATTCGTGTGTACATTACTGTTATACATATGTAGCATATATAAAACTGTTATATGCATATATATATATATACAAAAAGTGAAATTTTGAAACCCCAGTGGTCCGATCAAACAATAAAAGCGTCCAATATTTTTGTTCAATTCAGTTTTTTTTTTCTTTTCTCGTAACATCGACGTCGTAGAAAATCGAAACAAAAAAAAATTTTTTTTTTATTCTCTTCGTTCTTTACCGTTATATTGTTGTTATTATATCCATTTTATTTTTTCTCTCATATTATATTTGTTACCCATAAATCCTTTTTTTTTCTCCAAAGTTGATAAAATGAAAGAAGAAAAAATTGTATTACGAAATTTATATGTACGTGTATAAAGATGAATATTCTGTTATACAGATACATACTTACATACTTAATATGAAAATTCAATATTTTTTTACATTATATTTTTTTTTTATATTGTAGATTTTTTTTGTTATTTGTGTAGGATGGCATCATCATTATCAACCCATCACCCATTCATTCTGTATATTTTGTTTTTGAAGGAAGACTTCAATATTATTGCAAAAGGAAATTTTTATAACATTTTATCAATGTAAAAATAAAAATGATACGAGTAGTATGTGTATATGTAAGGATATTAAAAAAAAAAATTGTAAATAAATAAATAAAATGAAATCAAGTTCAGTGATGAATTTTTAATAAAATAATTTTTTTGAAATTCAGTAAAATTATGAAATGTAAGTGATCAGAACACAAGTTTATATTAAAAGTTAGCAGGTATATGGCAATTAATCTCAATACCACGACACTCTCTGTAAACTGTTTGTTGTCCTATTGAACAACTAACGTCTTAAACCCGTGTCATATAATCGTGAATCGTTAACTCGCATATTACTTAAGAATTCTTGCGCTATTATTTCACTTGAATTCTTCTTTAATTCTGCTGAGCTTTGACAAAACAATTTTTCTTTGTGGGGTCTGCTTCCCCTAAATATTTTGAACTCTTTCTGTCTCAAGCATAACACTGTTTTTAATTTTGTTAATTTAGTATTTAATTTATCGCCGTCCTCTACCATTACGGTGTTGGCTCATGTTGTCTAATCTTGAATTTACTGCTAAGAATTACTCCCTTCTGAACTTCTTAGAAATGTTATACTCAAAAAAAAGTAAAAAAAGCAATATACTCTTCTTCCTAAGCAGTACCAGAATTTTGACGATATTAGTCATTCCAATAATTACACTCAATTCAAATGTAAAATTTCTCCTAATAATTTCTTTGACTGAAAGAGGATGCTTACAGCTAAGAAAATTAAGCTTAAAAACTGGAAAAATTTTCTATGATTCGTAAAAATACGGAGCAGACCGCCTGTGAAGCTTTATTTCGCAGATACGGAAAGACTGTGAAGCTTTATTTCAGAAACATCTTTTCAAGGATTATAATGTAATAACAGAATAAAATAGTAACAGCTGCAGTTAAAGTTGATCTTCAATACAAAATTTGTTGCTACAGAAAAATTATTCAGATATGTCAGAAGTATTTCGAAAAATAATAAACAATTGAAAAATTTAAGTACTGGTATGTAAGTAAAGAAGCTAACTTCTGCCCTTACAAAATTTTTCTAAAAAAATTAATAACCAAAACTTCTGACTCCTCCAAATGATTTGCGACCCAATGCATGAATTTGGTATTTGAGCATCTCTGGATATGAAAATATAAATGATTTTCTTTTTTATTATTTTCATACACATAAAGGAAGTAATAGTAATATAATAAGAAAAAATTAAAAAAAAAGCAAAGAAATGAAGGTAACAAGAACACAAAAAAAAAATATTATAAAAAATCGGAATGGGTTGAATAAAAAGGACATAAGAGCTAAAGAGATCGAAAAACAGAAAAAAAAAAATACCATAAATTTTTTCTCAGTTTTTTTTTTTTCATTTTTATGTACTTATATGCGAATATGATTGTATCCTTGTAAAAAGGATACAAAAATATAACCAGTATTGAAGAATTTTTTTTTTTTTTTTTTGGTTTCTCTACTTTTCTTTCTGATTTTTTTATTTGTTTTTCTTTTTATTATTATAAAATAAATTTTTTTTTTTCATTTTATTTTGTTTATTGTTATTTCTTTTTTTTTATTTATTTTCAAGAGATCGATAAAAGGGATAAAGTGAAGCACTCAAAAAAAGCTTCCAATGAACACACACACATTCCTCCATCTACATAAATAAATTGTTTGTATATAAATTTAATTTTTTTTTTTTTCTATTCATTTCATTTCATTTTCCTGAAAATATGGATAGCAGCAAAACTTAGTGGAATAACCATTACACTTGCTTTATTTTTTTTTGTTTTTTTCATTCTCTTCATTTTCGATTGTTATAATTTTACCATATACGAGTACTCATATCGTATTAAAATATTGGTATAACAAATTCTATAAATCTACAATAATATAATTTAAGTATGGTTATACTCATGTATATATGTACATATGTATATTTGTTATATTTACACAATTTCATATTTTATATAATGCTAGATCAGCTCTTTATTTTTATAGCAAAAACAAAATACAAAAAAAAAAAATTACAATAACACGGTGACCATCCAATTTTACTACCCCCTAATATAAAATAATATCCTTGCCATATACAACATCATTTATATACTTATATAGCACGTTTTATATATTTTGTATATGTATATTTGTAAGTATATTCATCTTTGACTCTCATATGAATTATTGACCACAATTTATCTACATTTCATATAGGGTGGAGCTGGTTAAAAACATAATAAACAACTGGAGAAAAAAAAAAGCAGGCAAAAAAAAAAAAATTTTTTTTTATTTTTTTGCTAGGAAAATTATATTTTTTTTTGTCCTCTTTTCTTCATTCTCCATTTCATATAATTTCTATCTATTCCTTATCTAATTTTCTTTTTTCTATATTTTCTTTCTTATTCTTTTGAATTTTGAACGTGTTTATTTTTGCAACATTTTCTTCTTTTTTCTAGATTTCTCATTTTATGGGTTTTTGATAAAAATTATGATAAAAATAAATTTAGTTTCTCTTCATATATATATATACGTACATATATACAAATTATTTACACATACAAACTCAAAGAGATTATTTACATGTGCGTTAACGTAAAAACTATAAAAGAGAATAGTAAAAATAATCAAATAAATTTTATTATATTAAAAAAAAAAAGGAATATCCTTAGACTCTTAGAGTTTATTCTTAAAATTATTATATATTTATGTAATATGTATATATGTAGCAACAATGTAGGTAAAAAAGAAAATTATACTAAAATTCGAATGTCCTTTGAAATAAAAAATTACCTTTGTACGATATATCATTATTTTATTAACTTAAATTTTTTAAACAAGATGGAGGGAGATATACATATATTATACTTATGTACATAATGTATGTGTATAAAATATATAGGGTTGTAAAATGACCAATAAATATAGAATATAGTTTACTAGTTAAATAATAAAATACAATTCTTTTCCTTACATTATTACGACTAAAATGTAATACGGAATCTTTTTGAAAAAAGGGAAAATGAAAAGCAAATTATTTTTTTTTTTTTTGATCCTTGATCAGATCATGTGTATTAGTAAAGTCATAAAATTTGACAAAAAGAAAAATTAAATTTTTTATAATATTTAAAGAAAAAAAAAATGAATATGCAAACACCGAGAACATTAAAATGTATACGAATTTAAGGAGAAAATAAGTCGCACCTACATATACTAATTATATCGTCCCCATTCTTAAATATTGCATCTCAATTTAATTTAAGATTGATCTATAAATTAGCAAAAGATGATCTTTTAGAAGTGCGTTTTTTTCATAAATTTTGTATTATTGAACGATCTCTCTTAAGTTGCGAACAGACGAAAACTCATTATTTTATAATGAAATGAAACTTTTCTTATATAAGTAATCAGAACCCATTGGGAGAACGAACCATAACAGAAATAAATTCGCATCAAATGAGAAAAGCAGTTCTTCCTAAAAAAGAACACGTAATATTTACTAATTGCATACTTTTTGGATGACATTTATCCTCTGAGAAATAGATTTTCCATAAAGACATGTTATGCATAAAGTTAAAATACTCTGCCAAAAATTAGAGAAGGACAGTCAGGCGTAAAGAAATTGAAAAACATATTATTTTTATTGAATTGTTGGAATTTTTTTTAAAATGAAAATTTTAATACGCTTTTCTGTGAAAAATCATTTTTGATTTAGAACATGTAGCGCTCAAATGGATATTCAATGTTTTAGATATTCGAAAGGGATAATTGAATTTCGTATGTATACATAATAACAAAATATTAAAATGAATTAAGGTAAGGATGGTGTAATAACATTCAAATTAGACTATAACAATTCAATATAAAGTGTGTACGTAGATAGTGTTTGAAAAAACAATAAAGAAATGCCCATGGCACGCCTATTTTACATATGTCACCGCCACAGTTACCATCACCGCCAAGGTCGCCATAACGGTCACCGTCACCGTCACCGTCCTCGTCACGGTCACCATCACCGTCACCATCACCGTCCTTGTCACCATCATCGTTACCGTCACCGTCACCGTCATCATCACTGTCACCATCGCCGTCACTGCCACCGTCACCATCACCGTCACCGTCACCATCACCGTCCCCGTCACCATCATCGTTATCGTCACCGTTATCATTATCGTTACCGTTAACATCACGGTCACCGTCACCATCACCGGCACCGTCACCGTCACCGTCCCCGTCACCATCATCGTTACCGTCTCCGTCATCATTATCGTTACCATTAACGTCACGGTCACCGTCACCATCACCATCACCGGCACCGTCACCGTCACCATCACCGTCACCGTCACCGTCCCCGTCACTATCATCTTTACTGTCATTGTGACCGTCACCGTCATCGTGACCGCCACCATCACTGTCCTGTAACCATAGCATCACATCACGGACAGCTGCGTCTTAAGCTACAATCCTTCTTAGTTTCGCCGTTATTAGATTCAAAATTTGGCAATCTAAAAGGTGTAATCTACATACAAACTTATAACACTATATATAGCTACATACATTGTTATACTATGAATTACTGAGAAAATCACATAGAAAATTAAACTTTTAAAGAAATAATTAAAAAAAAATAAACAGAACAATTTCAATATAAAAAGCAATTATATTTAAATCTAAAATCTAAGCAAAAATAGTCAAAGAAAAAACAATTCTCATGTTGATAATTTATAATTATTCCAAGAAATTGAATGCTTAACTTATCATTTAACTGCCTCCAACCTTATTTCTCATTCTTCCCCCACCCCAACTCTTCTTCTTCTTAATTCTACTTCAGCCTTTTCTCTTATTGTATTTAAAATAAAAAAAAAAATAAGTCATTAACATTATAAATTAAAGGTAATATTAACCCATCAAAGATATCAAGTTATAATAAATATCAACCAATATTTTTCTGTTATCCTTAAACACCAGTCACAAGTACAGAGAAAGCGAAAACAAGAAAAAAGAAAAAAATTTGTTACAAACCAAGTAAAACAAAATAAAAAGAAAATCACGAACAGTAGCACAAAGAAAAACTTAATTTACGGATTAAATGCAATATTGCTCAAGAACCGTATAACAAAATGTCCTTATGTTTCTTCACAATAATAATAACCCAGCAAAAAAAAAAAAAAAAGAAAACAAAAAAAAATTTGGAATAAAAATTTTGATAATTTTTTATTTTCATCCAATTTTCCAAAAAAAAAAAAAAAATTGTTAAAATTATAAAGAGGGTTAAGTTAAAGCCCAGTAAAAGACTGAAGCAAAAAAAAAAATCCCAACCATCAGCAATAAATGGCAAGCACACAAACAAAACACAAATATTTTTTATTACAAGTCAAATTTTTATTTTTCAATGGGTTGGTTATGTTGGCCAGTTGACCGATTCAGAATTTTTTTTTTATGTTAAAATTAAAAAAAGTAAGGGGAGTACGAGAAAGAGGAAGAGAAAAAGAAGAAGAAATGGGAGGACGAGTATTGAAGGAAAAAAGAAAAGGATTTTAAAAGAAAAACAAAACCCTTTTAAGATGATAAATTTTAGCTCTTTTGCTGAGCACTTCGGATTTAATGGTCACAACTTTCTTTTTCCATGATTTTTTTTTTTTTGTTTTTTCTTTTGTCGTTTTTGTCGTCCTTTTATTTCATATTTCTTTTTCTTTTTTGTTTTTATCTTTCTATAACTGTTCTAGCTTTATTTATGTTCCTTCGCAAAGGGATTAAGTGACCATTTTATGCTTATTCATTTCAATATCCTTTATTTTTCTTTTCTGTTTCTCTTTGTTTTTTTTTTTGGTTTTACTTTTAAGCATCTTTTGAATCACCATCTCTTTCTCTTTACTTCTTTATTAAAAACATTTTCAACTTAATATAAAATGTATCTGAATTTTTAACTCTTTCACACTGGTTTACTTGTATGTATAAAGGTGGCCCGTCACATGTATTTTGGGAAAAATTCAGTTTATATACTTAAAATTGCAATATTTGAGCAGCTATTATTCGAAAATGGTAAGTTAGAAATCAACAATATTGGCATTGCTGTTATGTTGACCTATTGACTGAGAAATTTCGTGAACAGCACATAGCTCTTGCTTCGGCCATTTTAAAGCTGTATTGGATATTTATCAGAATTCTCTAATATTTTGTAATTCTCTTTTTTTATAATTTTCTTTAAGCCTCAAGAACTATCCTAAAACATGCGAGTTAAATTCCTCGCCTCTGCACGAACAATTTGTTTTTTCTTGAAAAATATTTTATTACAGTCAGTTTGTGAACACTCTGTACATATTTTGGACCACTCTCTTTATATGTTACATGATTATGTCCATCGGCTGGTGGACCAAAAATAAAACAAAAAATAAAATATGACGAGTTAAAATGTACGGAAAAATATACGAAATGGAGGGTATACGTAGGTAGAATTACCAAAACAAAAAAATGGGGCCGTGCAAATGGGGAAGAAGAGAGGGGTCTCAAAATAAAGTGGGTGATAGTAAGCAAAACAAAAACATAAAATGGAGTAAAAACGTAGATTTCAACATTAATATGAATAAATGGATTGCCATTTTTATTCGACTCCTTTTTATATTTTTGTTTTTTTTTCTTTATGTTTTTCTTTTATAATATTTATTTTTGCAGATTTTTATTTTCTCGTCCTTAACACTTTTTCATTTTTTGTTATTTTTTCAGTTAAATTTTTATGAAATAAAAAAAATCGCAATGAAATCGAATACAAAAAAAAAATAAAAAAAATATAAAAATTTTTGAAAGATGAAACAAACAAAACTTACCATAAAAATAAAGAAAAAAATGAAAGATAAAACCAGAAAAAAAAGGGTTGATGATTGCAAACGATTACAATCTAAATTGGACATGCGCTTCTTTTCCGGACTCAAAGATATTTACTGTATAACAATAAAAATAAACAGAAAATTCCAAAAAAAAAAAAAAAACGAGAGAAAATTATAATGAATGTGTGTGTATGTGTACATGTGTATATGCACAATAATAACTGTTATAAAAAATATAAAAACAAAAATATCGTAAATTTATGACTTTCTTGTAAAATTAATAGATGGATAACTTCATGAATAAATGAAAATATTCAGAAAAGCAAAAAAAAATAAAAAGGATTTATTTTTTATTTTTTTTTTGTTATTATTGGAAATGGACTTACAACAATAATAAAAAAAAAAATAATTTTTTGATAAAAAAAAATAATTTTTTTTTTTTTTTCGAAAAAATAAAATATAATAACAAAAGTACCATAAATGTAAAAAGGATTTTTCTAATATCCTTTCTTTCACAACAAAAATATTTTATATTTTTATGTGTTCGAACAAAAAAAATGTATAACCTATGACAGTTATTTTAATATTTATGACTTTTTATCATGTTTTTTTTTGTTCCAAGAATTCTAAGTTATTAAGTATAACACTTTCATAGAGAGAAGGGGGGGGGGGGTTAATTAAATAAGAGAAAAATTTAGTTGTACATATTATGTGTTGTATTCGTTATCACGAAAGGATTAAATTGTATTATACGATATTTTAGGAAAATTTTACGATATTTTAAAAAAAATATACGATATTTTAGCAAGATTATACGCTATTTTAGCGAAATTCTACGATATTTTAACAAAACTCTGTGATATTTTGGAAAAATTCTACGATATTTTAGCAATATTGAATAATCTTAAATTTATATTGCATTGTTGTCATGTTAATGAGATTTATTTAATTGTTAAGTAAGTAAGTTCAAAATTTTGTATTTGACAATGGCACAGTTGAAAAAAATTTTACAATGGCAATTTTTTGCAATGTGCTTATTTTATTAAAAAACAACTGAATTTTTTGGTATTGGAAATATTGGAACCCAAAATATTAGGGATTTCAAGAGCGTAAAGCATAAAGATGTTTTAATGGAAGAAGTTCGAATATTTTCGAAATTATCAATTTTTCAAAATGAAAAATTTGCAGAATATAAAATTTTATATGTTCTCTAAATTTATATAGTAATATCAAAGAATATATTAATGCAAGTGCGAAGTCGGAATCAAACACTTTAAGTTAAAAATTTTAAGGTTTCCCTAAATCTTCATATTTATTACATTCGAAAATCGGAATTACCGCAACAACGTCAAATTCAGAAAAATCAGAATATTTTTTATACATAAGAATATTAAGAGTGCAAATTGAAAACTTAAATTAAAATCACTATATCGTTTTCAAATTCTTGTTGTCTAGGTGGCCGTAGGCGTCAAATTCGGAAAAAAAAAATTTATTACATACAGAAACTCGAATTCGGAATGGGAGTCACAAGCATGTTAATGATTTTAAAACATAGTTTGAACAATTCTAGGTCTTTAATGAATGCAAATTATTGCTTAAATTTTGAAACTGATACCGAACTTTTAATAAATCACATTAAAAATGAAAAAATAAATTAATAGTTCGATTGCAATATCCGTGATTCTGAAATTGTTGTAACAGTTTTGATCTCTGGTTTTAGGCAAGTTTTGCTTATTTTCATTCACATTTTATGAATGTGTCAAGTTCACTGCTTACAACTACTTTCAAACTCCATTACGAAATAAATGACATGAAACGGCTACATTGCACATTTTATTTAAATCTCTCACATACTGAACATATAAAAAATTAGTGAAAGTATTTGGAACTATAATTGACAATTCTTTCATATTAATTTGAACACTTTTAAATATTGAATTAAAATTCTGATTTTAAAATATTTTACAATTGGGAACGTTCTAGAGAACGTATACTACAAGAGCTTCATTGTATAAAATACTAAATTACATTATTAATGATTTTTTCCAATTTAAAATAAGGTCATTATTCATTCAGTAATTTTAAAATTTAAATTAAAATAATTGCAAAAATCAAAGAAGAATAAAAAATTTACAAATATTTTCTGTTTTCTTCTATATTCCAATTTAGAATGCTACAAAAAAAATTCTTTAATGTCTTCTTCAATATTGTGTTGTGAATAATGGAATGATTTAAAATATTTCTGATATTTTTATTATATTTTACGCTATATTTAATTATATTTAGCATAAAAATAATTTTTTTTTGTGAAAATTATTACCAAAGAATATTATTTCAATCTTCTTCTCTATAAATTTATCATTCGAATATTCAGTCGAAATTTTTACATGAAACAAATATAAAATCCTCTGCTATAATATTTTTGTACAATGAGTTTTTAAAACTAAATTATGTAAGTACTCGGATCGGTATCTTGTATTTCTTCTCAATAATAAATTGGCAATCAAATACACAAAACTGAAATAAAAATCATTTCACATTTCCTTAAGGTCATGTTGTCAACTTTCATTTATCTTAAAAATACTCGTGTCAAAGTTAAATTAAAAG